GGTTTTGTGGGCGTTATTATGAGTATGGTACCCGTTTGGTGCATTACAAATGGATGTTGCTTTAACACATAACAAAACATTTGTTGTGTCGCTATTATTTAATGTCTCTTTTTTTATTTTCTAAAATTCCTTTTGCGGTTATATCTTACGTTTTAAATGCGGATCGTGTGCTTGTTATGTGTACGACTTAATTGCATTTTTCACGACGTTAAGTAATTGAAAAAAATAGTTAATTGACAAGCCGTTGCTTAATTAGTGTAATTAAATTAATATATATGAGATTCTTGCGAATCATACCACCTGTCCACGTGCAAACTAAATAGGAGTTGGATATAATGCCTTAAGATGGTTATAGACTATAATATAGTCTTTCTGGTAAACAGTCTTGTGCGTTATACTTGGAATCCGAAAACCGGATAACTGAAGTATTAATTAGTGTCGATGAAAAAGCCCGAGAATTTATACAGACATTTTTTTGCTTTGCATGTTTTCATTGTATAATTACACGAGAAAAGCTCTTTTGTAATATTCATCAATGATAAGACCGGTACAGTATACTCTGCCCATAGCAGTATATAACTAGATTGCTTTTCCATGATTTGACGGGAAATATCAAATACCTATTAGCAGCACAATTATTTCAATGAGACGACCTAAAGGCTAAATATTATTAAAATAATGGTAACGATAATTTTTAAATAAACATAGGAATTAACATATTATACTTGTGTTGATTCATAGAAAAAAAATAAAACATGAACTAATATTGTGTAATAATTGTGTAGTAATTGATTTTTTTCTGAAATTTAAATTACCAGTTTTAGGCCATCCGCCGAAAAAATACTTTCTATACCTATACAAACATTATTTGTTTTGGTTCTATGAAAATCATTATGTAATTATCATAATTTTATTAAATAACATCCAATTTGTTTTTGTGGTTATATAATTCATTTAATCTTTCAAAGGTTTGAAAAACGGGTTTTGTACTTAGCAAAATTCGCAAAAATTTTGGCTAAGACAATCATTGCATCCTACACAACAATAATATATTTTAAAAATGTTTCATTGGAAATTATAATATTTCTTAATAAATTGTCGACAATTTTTTTTTGGATCATGTTTTCGGTAGAAAACAAAATATTTATACTTAACGGAAACACTTGAAATTATATTATATTCGACTTATTAGGTAGTTTTTTTTTTTAATTTCTATTGTTTTCGGTCGAATGAGCTATCTGCGTTTTCATATAGCCTGGGGTTTAGGTCTCACTTAATACTTTATTGATCTTTCTGTATAGTAGCTGTAGCATTAAATTAAACAACAAATACCTGCTAGCACTTTTTCGCATTATTGTTTTAATGGTTTTTTTTTTTTAACTTAAATGACATTATATTATTTATGCGCGCATAATGACGACGCCTCGACGAAACCGGCCTGCCGCGACCACCCAACCTATCATCAATAATATAATAATATTATCATAGTACTTATAATAGTATGTTTAGACCAGTTTTAACGAGGAGAATTTGTTTTTTCATATTTTGTGTTATTTAAAAGGCTATTATAATAATATACAACACTAGTCGATATCCGAGGATTGATGACTTAATCGGATGGTGTTTACTATTATACTATTATAGTATTATAATGTTGATAAATTCGCTGGACTGGTAAAGCGCATTATTCAAAATCTTGTTACCTCGTTTGGCGATCCCTTTAAGGATTGATTCTTTAAGCGGTCTATTTAGTTCGGCCAATGGGTTTTCGACGTTACAGATGGAATATGATCATAGTAATTATTAATGGTAGTTACCGAGAGGGACACTCAACATCGTTCTGGCACGTGGCAGAGTGTAATTTGCGGTCCGGTATCGTGGTTGTTGTGTATAGTGTCTCTGAGCAGGTATCTATTATATCTGTATACAGGTACACTTAATTGGCTGCCATAAATCCTTTGACTTTACATACCGTTCGCGCAAGAAGGTCGTGTTTAACCAAGGCGCCAAGGACACTGATTCGGTGTGTTATAATATTCTGGCTAATGATCCTTTGAGGTCGACACACAAATACCTTCGACGAATCATTGGCAAACGCCCAAATAGAGAGGGTTTTGAGGGGACTTAGCCCTCTCAAATAAAATACTCACCGAGAGAGCGCTTTGATCTCCCCCACGGTTTTTTTTTTAAATCGATATTATGTAGAACTTGAATCGCTTTTGATACCAATCAGTTGAGATTTAGATGTATGGCAAACTGACATTAGTTGCTGAATAATGGCAAACATGAGCTTTGAAGATTTTATTTTTCATCATGTTCTCTGTTGAATCGACTCGTAATTTGAATCAATTTTTTAACGCAGGAATGCCATTTTTGTACACAATAAAATTGGTGGATTAATTAACATTTTTTGTGGTCCATCTCGTACATAGCAAAATATCGACACTGGTCGAATGAGAACTTTAAAGATAACCCGTTGATTTTAAGCAGATAAACCACACAATTAGCTGAAAATAAGGTTATATACAGGTTTACATATATAGGAGGGCTATAAACATTATGTAGATACATGCGGCGGTTGGTATACAGCGATGACCACGCGGTTAAAATATTAATTAACCGTTATTGTAATCAGCAAGTAATAATTTTCCAACGCAATAATATTATGATGTCATTAATAATAGCAACTCGATGAAGTATGTACGCATTGTTACATTATTAGGTATATTATAATAATGACAAGTAAAATGATTTTGCCCGCGTTTGATCTTTTTTGACCATGTAAATTATGGTGTATACACTCGGTGCTTTAACTTTAAGAACTCTTGTTATGGATTATTAAAGACAAACATTGTGCTTTGGAAAAAAAATAAAAAAATTGTTTACATTTTGTTGACAGTTTTTGTCATTTTAGTACTTAATCCCGATTAGTTAACTTTTAAAATGATTTAGGTCAGGACCAGATTTGAAACATTGATTACTTTCGGTGATGAATTTTTCATTTACTGTCTACTATTTTCAATCTACTAGTTTCTTTCCAAAAACAACGTGTAACAAACTCGGTTTTTTAAGCAATAAACGGCTGTATAATGTGGACGGCAATAGGATACAGGTACAATGTCTGTTTAACACACAACGAGTCGCTGTTTTTTCTCTCTCTACACGGATCAGTTCACCTTGAACGCGCACAACTGTCGTTTATAATATTATAGTGGGGACAAAACAATTTAATTAACGAATTGCCCGGTCGGAGCGGAAACGCCATATTATTATTACTGTTGCTACACCAACGTACAGTAATTTCTTTATTATTACTATAGAATTCATGTATATAATGCAGCAGTAGTAGTCTGCAGTTTGTCGGTGCAATTTTTTCTTACAATTTATTTACCTGACACGAGGGGGGGGGACAAGTAGACCGACGTGGTGTAGGTATAAAATAAACGCAATGGCGTGCGACCGCGAAGCGTCGAGGAAATAATTGATTTTCAACATGATTTACAACCTCATAACGGTTGCCATTATTATTATTATATAAGCAAATACCTATGTTATTAAAAGTACACGCTGAGGTGGAATAACTAAAAAAAAAAAGTATACAATAATTGTTTGGTATGCGAACGAGTTAAAATTTTGATTTTGAAATGTAAAAGTTAGGTCATAATTAAAAACAGGGTCATATTGCCCATTAAGCTTGAAAAACGCTAGTTGTATTGTGTAGAGGTAAACACAATATTACTTAAAATTTAAAGTTGAAATTTTCCATATTGTTTAGTAAAACAAAGAAAATTGCTATTATTACATGACACTAATATCCAGTTTATGGGGGGGGGGGGGTAGATAAATATTGAGTGTATCGTGTATGGAGAGGTTAGGAAGTTCTACGAAGGAACAGTTGTATAAATTAGACTAGTAAACAATTAATATAAGAAGCCACAATTTTTTTCAATACGCTCTACAGTTGTTTTATGATTTTCTAAAAAATTAGGGTTGAAATTTGAAGTGTGCCGAGTACTTGTATAAGCCAGCTGTGATGGTAAAAATTAAACTTTATATTCGCCCTTTCAAAAAATTCGGTATTATTACTCAATCGAGTTGTTCCTAGTTTTAGTAATATAATAGTAAACTGGGGGAAACATTTGGGAGGTATTTATTCAACTTAATGGAAGGGCCCCCTGCCTAAAAATATTTTACCTTGTGGTTAAAAATGTCTAAATCAGGCCCCTAAGTATATGTTATATATATCATATTACATTGCGGCTTCTTATAATTTAAGAAGAATATCCGGTATATCTTTGGTTATTGGTGTAGTGTATTTCGCATTGGCTAACGCATGTGAAAATAATAATAATTATTAATAACAGTAATAAATTATCATAGGTACTATTAAAAACATTTTTGATTTATTAACCGACATTGTGTGTGTTTTGTTTTTTTTCTTTAACCAGATACGCGGTCATTGGTAACGGCGAACGTGATGTTGGACAGCGTTATGGGTTTGCACCCCGACGACCATAAGCGTTGCGGCCGCACGCGCGTCGTAAGACGATAAAAAAACGTAATATTAAAAGAAAAAGAAAAAACATAACGCGAACTCAAACACTTAAACGCACGCACGCACTCACTCATTCCGACGAGGGGCGACGACCACCAACGGAGACCGCCGATCGTTGAACGCTCTGATGGACTGCAGCTTCGGCGGAGGACTGACGGCCGCGGCCGTTGCGGCCGTTCAACACTATCACAGACAACACCAACAACAGCAGCAGCAGCTGTTGCTGAAAGCGTCTATGTCGGACGGCTGCACGGTGGCGTCCGCGGCGGCTGCGGCGGCCACAGCCACGGTGCGGTTGAACGCGTCCGCCGAACGGCCTTTGAAGTTCAGCATAGACAACATACTGCGGCCCGAATTCGGTGGCGTTCGCAAAACGCCCGTGTCGATGCGCGACCATCATCAACCGGCGCACCGGGTGGCCGCGGCCGCCGAAAAGTCGCGGCGGTCGTCGTCGTCGTCGGCGGCGTCCTCGTCGTCGTCCACGGTCACGTCGGCCGGCGTCCGGGAGCCGCCGAGCTCGCCCATCGACCTGTCCCGGTCGGATCTCGCCGACGCCACGGCCACCGCAGACACCACCGTCACGCAATTGCCGGACAAAGAAGCGGCCAACGGCTCGCAACCGTGGCCGGCCTGGGTGTACTGCACCAGATATTCGGACCGACCTTCATCCGGTAAGTCGAAATCATTTACTCATTATTGTACTTAGGATTAGACTGTAAATCGCCCGTTACAAAAAAAAAAACTGTTATTGTCCGCACACGCCATCGACCAGACCACGCAGACTTCGTTAAGCCGTTAGGTTAGATTATTAGTTAGAACCAAAAGTAGCCAAACGGAAGTCTATGGGCGTACATGAGAGGAGGTATGAAACCTAACCAACGTTTGGTAATTTATAAATAAATAAAAAATACACTAAATAAGCAAATGATAAACCTAAATATTCTTAAAATTGTCCAAATTGCAGGCTAAAATATAGAAAATATCATAAAAGAATAATTGAACAGGAATCAGAATAACTTAATAACATAAAATATTCATTTTATTTGTACCGCTAAAGATCTATATTTGTTAAACACTGCACAACACGATTTTGATGAGAAAAAATATATATACATGATATATTTTTTTGCTGCATCTGTGTTTTTTTGAAATCGCATACAAATTTATAAAAATACTGTACCCGACAAACGTCATGTAAATTTATTAATTAAAAAATGCAAGTTAGCTGGCTCGCAATTAAAGGATTGTCAAATAAATTTAGTAACTGTAAATATAGTTGACACTACAACTAATCAAAAACTCGGTGAATTGATTATATAATTAATTGATTTTAAAATTATAAATTATCGACCAGTGTTTAAATCCAACTAATCTTATTAGCGCGTTTTAATACTCAGTTTTGCACTTAAATGAACAATAATTACTCGCCTTATAATAAATAATTAATTCATTATTAATGATATGTAGTGAGATTTATTTCCAACGTGGTAATTTTTTATACTCAATAACCTCGTGTAATTTTTTTATGGTTTTAATTTTTAAAACACTATTCCTTTTTGGAGTGCGCCAGGACGAATCTGGTCTTTGTGAAGTCCCGTGTAGCGCTCACATCATCTGTGATTAGGCACTTCAATTGGAAGTAATCCAGTCTATCAAGAAGTCTGTGGGTCAGTGTGCGGTATTCACAGGGAAACGGGCGGCTCGTGTGTAAATTGTGCAAACGCTTTATCGACATTTAGGGACGATCCGAAAACTTCCGTTAATCCAAGTTAAGAACGACTTTGGTCGGTTAAAGCTGTCGCACTGAACGACTTACAGAAGTTCTTTGATATTGCTCATGTTTGTTTTTGTGCCTAAAAGCGCTGTAAACATCTTATAAATGCAGATATTGGCATTGTATCAAGAGATTCGTGCCGTTTTTGGTCAGTCTGGGTTACCAATGGTTGAGCACCGGAAAAAAAGGTTTGGTTAGGTCTAGGTAGGATAAACGAAGTACTGGTGATTAGGTTTAAGCTTGATTTTTGTTAGAAATTAAGAATATAATATACATTTTTAACGGAATTAAACAGTTGAGCGACTGCGTGAATGATGACTAGAAAATAAAACTGCTCCACCCTTCCTCTCCTTGGTAAGCTGAACGTGCACGTTAGTTTTACAGCTAACTTTGACTTTTGTACCGATTTGACCGAGTTTGTGTTGTCAGTATTGTCAGCTTAAACGCTCACATTAGCTAATTTGTGGTATTGACAAAAATCGAATTTTCTAATTCCGGCCCGGAGCTAACTATAGTATAGTATTGTCGTTATTTTATTTAACATTACTATTATGACAAACGAGTCGTTTCAAAACCAGCAGTCGGTGCGGAACGAATAGAAAAGGACAAGGTCCCGACTATTATGTCTTATGTGTCAGTGTGTGTGAGGTAGGTATATACAAATCTTGTTAGGTCGGCCTGGGCGCGCGATACAATCTTGTTTATAGAGTAATAAGGTGTATAATAATAATATAATAGTAATAATAATAATCATATCATATTTCGACGCCTGCGTCATATTATTATGGAGTACCTCGTGCTTGTCGATGTAGTAGTTTTTTTTTTTTTTGGCTGTTGTTTGTCCTACCAACCGGTTAGTATTCCTATTATATGTGTAATAATAATATGATGGTTATTATTATTGTTGTTACCTTAAACGGCAGTCAGGTATACTCTGGGTATACTACTATCCCGACCATTACAAAGTTACCTCAGGTGTTACATTAGTTTGACGCAAAAATTGGAAAATACTTGGATTTTTATATTAAAAAAAATCTACTTATGCCGTGTAGTAAATGTTTTATACCCCTAATTTAATAGCTCATTCGTCAAAGTTATCAAAAAATTCGGTCGGTTTTGTTTGATTCCAGCCTAACTATCTAACATAGTCTCTACTTGATGTCAAGACGAGTTAAACAATATTATTTATTTTTACTGTGCTAGGTTCAGAGAGGAAACTTAAGGCGAGTGATAGTTTGTGTTGATCATCTAATAAAATAAATAATTTTTTTTTAAATCCATTTTGTATGAAACATAAGCGAGCCTTAATCTGGTTTCTCATTTGGTCGAGACCGAACCTAGTCAAAATCGTTTTAATCGTGTAGTTTCGATACTAGCGTTTAAGTCTATGGACTTTTCACAAAGTTTTCGATTCTCGACCTCGGCTCTCCTCGTTTGTATTAAAAAAAAAAAAGTCATGTATTACATGTAATGGCTATTATTGGTGATATTATTATATTATTACCGAGCAGGTACATTCCGTCGCGCCGTTACGAAATCCAAATCGAATTACAACTTGGGTATACAATGCGGCTTGTGGTGGCCACCACGTCTGCAGCAGTTGTAATGCCAGTGTGTGTGTGTGTGTGTGAACGTGTTACTACGGTGCTGCTGGTGCTACAAGTGATCGCCAAGACCACCCAAACGCAATATTGGTTTTGGTTCGTTCCGATTTCCATTTGTTAAAACCGGACCGAGATTTACCCGTAGATCCAGCTCTGTGCCGTTCATTGATATATCATTGAGTAATATTTATGTATAACATCATAATATTGGCCTCACTTCATAACACATATTACACACACACACACATTAGTCTGTATGTATGTGATATTATATTATATAAATCGACCAGTTCCGTTATACTTACTCGTACACACACACAGCATAATATATACACTGGACTATAATATGTGTTTTTTAACAAAAAAAAATCCCCCCAAAACAACAACAAGACATGATCGATCGATCCGACAATAATTATTATTATCATGTCTCGTGTCGTGCGCTGCTGCTGGTATAGTAATAATATACAATATATTATAAGGATTTTGACTTGTCCCAGTGCTGACGCTCTACTATTGTGTATAGGGGCGCCTTAATGTACATATGATAACGAGAGAGACCAGAGTTGACAATTAACACCCCGAGATAAACGCGTGTGCAATGTAAGGTATAAGATACGAGATAAGACGTTTATACGGTCCGGAAAAAGTACCCGAACGGGTTGAATAAATTATTAGGCACCGGTCGAGGGACGATATTAGATATTTGTATATATTTTGTGGCGTTAATGATGCAGTAGGTATATGCCTACCTGTGTATTATACACACATAAGTAGTATTATAATACTACTACCGTCTTGTAGACAAGTCGATTCGGACGGACCGGGTATGCCCACACGCGCCGTTTTATGGAAATCAAAAATTAAAAAAAAATAAGTCCAAACCGTGCGTGGCATCCCGGGATTGAGTCATTAAAATCCGTCGAATCACCGACTCGACTTAATGTAATTATAATATTATGAATTTACATATAATTATCGAATACACAATAATAATAATATGTGATTATTACCTATATATTATACCTACGGACACACCGCGTAGTACCGCGTATCGCTCATGCTTGTTATAGGTATAGTGGTCAGGAGAGTAAAAAAAACTAATTAAGAGTGAGTTCAGAAGAAAACCTAGACACGAACGGGTCAGTAAAAATTGTGTGGAATGTCAAACACACCGGGGGATGTTTTACAGGAATGGGGGGGGGGGGTTAAGACGGGGCAGGTTAGTTGAGTTGTTTCACATTAATGATTTTATTTTTTAAAGTTATTTTTTAGAAGATGGAACTAAAAAAAATTGATGTTATAAATTTGCATCGTTGTAAAACTGAGTGAAGGAAAAAAATAAAAATAGAAAATAATTTTTTACACAATACATTTCTGAAAGTCTCAACATTGGTTTTATTTTTAAAAGTCAATATACGTTTTTTTTTTTTAATATTAATGATAAAAAATGATTTGAACCGTATTTTATTTTGCTGTAAACATATATTTTGGTGGCTTTTGACATATTTTTTTGCTTTTTATACAGAAAGGGGGACAAATTTGTAATTTCACCGCACACACTTTTTTTCTATTTTATTTGAAAAACAATTAAGAAACACTTCTGATTTTTCAGTTTTCAATTTTCGGATATTTTTATTTGTTTTGAAATATCTCCACAAAAATTGAATTTGTTGTATTCTGGTTTTTATATATATATTGTGTTATGGACATTTTAATTAATAGCAAATAATTTTATAAATTTTACATGTAGATTACGGTTTTTTTTTATTGGGTAAACATAGGCACGGCCGCCGCAGGTTATCCAGGTGACCTGGATAAAAAAACCTGAAAAAAGCGACCTGGACCAGGTCATTTTTTTTTTAAATCCCATAGTAAACAATTATAAAAAAATATAATATGCATATTATATTATTATGATTATGAATATTATTATTATTGTGCTGCCCTCGGGTTGTACAACCGACCATGTGTGTTTTACCGCCGATGAGTCCTTGGCGACGGTCACTTCCACGCGGACCGCTAAAACAAACACTCGAATAAACAGAGCCAGTCCGCACTTGACGTTTTTTTTTTTTTTTTGTAAAGAAGTACAAGTAAAAGAATAAGTAGGGAACCTGCCAACAATTATTGTTATTATTATTATATTACACACGCACAGAAATACTTACAATATAGCACCGCACTCGACTGGAGTTTCTCCCGTTTGTTGTGTGTATATTATTATGTTGCATGTGTGAAGGTGCTCGACAAAAAAAAAATATATATATATATATATAATAATAATTATAAT